GTTAGAACACCTGGACGCTATTCTCTCTTCGGGGATTTCAGTAAATGCTTTATCACAGGGTTGATGCAACTTAATTACTGGGTGCATCCACCATTTGAGTGGGGGGTGTGCACAGACCTTGAGAGCAGTCAGTAACAGTAGTCAGTGTTCACTTTCTCTGCTTTTACCTGCTTCTCTTCAATGGCTCTCAGTTAAAGGTGGGAATCAAGGACCCTACTCAGTTTATTTCTTCCCAGTACAGGAGATTTAGAGGACAGCTTTGGGAAGGAGGAGCAATGTTCTTCTTTCTACTTTGGAATCACTGTTTTTTGGTTTTTTTTTTTGCCTTGGTTGCCAACACTTAATGTTTATCTCCTTAGGTTTTATTCTTTTCTTTGGTGAAAAACCCTTTCTTTACTAATATATTAATTTTTACTTTTGGGGGGAAGGAGAGTCTATGAGATAAGTTCAGTCCTTCCTTTTTGCACAAGAATTGCCCCAGGTGATCTTTAAGGCTTCCAGGCCAAGCTAGGCCGTAACTCTGAGGTCCCCACTCACCCAAGGAGAGATGTGGTCTCCTCCATGTGGCACCGAGGCCTTTGGCTGCCATCCAGGCCTTTGTATCCAGGAGGAGATGCCGCCCTGTTCAGGCTTTAGGATGCTCGGTACCTGCCAACCTGGTACCCACAGTGGCTGGAGGGATGAACCACGAGATAGAGATGCGTCCACTCTAGTGGTTGGCAGGGTCAGCTAAGAGTCCCAGGATGACTGTGAGATCTGTATTCTTGCCCCCAGGGTGGCCCAGTGACTGGCTGATGTAGGTGTCCCAGTTTAGAGAGGGCGTGGGCTATTATACCACTTTCTACACTGGGCCTTTGCGGGGTTTTGAAACCCTTTTTTCTCTTGTATCTTGAGCTGGAATCACCAGGCCTTGTCAGAAGCTGTCTCAAAGGGACGGCCTTTTCTCTGAGGACCCTGCCTCCCCCTAGGATATAGCAGTAGAGCCCAGCTAGAGAGCCCTCAGCTCTGCTTAGTTCTCCAGGAGGAAACTAGAGTCAGACCCTCTTAATGCCGTTGGTGCTTCACTTCCCACTTGCCTGCTCACCTAGTTGCTGGGCAACTGTGGGCCTCAGGTGGTACCCTTATGCCCTGAAGCCAGTCCCTGCAATTATAGGTTGGCAGGCCTGGGAGTAATGTGTGCCATCCAGCATGGTATCTTGCTGGCAGCCAGGCTGTGCCCAGGGCCTGTGTCCTGGCTGGCTGAGCCACACTGGACAAGGTTGACTCATGAATGGGAGAGAATGATTAGGTCTGAGCTCTGCCCTGGTCTCACATCTGTGCCATGGGTGATGTTTGCCTTCTCCTAGACTCCATTCTTTGCAGTTCAGAAATTAGCTGCTGCCAAGTTCGAGGACCAAGGTGAAGACACTGTCCCTTCTACCCACCAGGGGCTCAACCGTCTCTTGAACAGGTGCTCTGGCTTCCCTCCGGCCCCCTTTCTGTGCCTACCTTGGCATGCAGGGACACACAGGGATGTATGCATGTGTGCACTCCAGCTGCACGCAAGGGCATGAGTATGAAGCTCGCCTGTGTCCGTGGGACACACATGCGATTGTGTGTACACAGCTTGCTGTCTGTATTATGAGACCATACGCATGAGTGTGTATATGCAGGGGTGTTTTTCACCAAGTTCCCCGGCAAGCCTGCACCAGCCTGTGTTTACAGCCACCATCTGTTTGGTTGGTGCTCTTGCCACATGTTTTAATATTTTAAATGTCATCCCTATTACCTCCATATGTGTGTACTTGTGGTGTGAATTTTACGTGTGTGTGTGTGTGTGTGTGTGTGTTCTGGGCTAGAAGGGTCCATGCACCTGTGCACCAGTGTGACCGTGCAGGTAATGGATGGTGAAACATGTACATGTATGATTATGTATCTGCGTGTGCTTATGTGGTTGTGTGTATGTGTATGTGTGATAATGTGAGTGTGTGTGTGTGTCTCTCTCTGTCCAGGGGTGAATAAGGCCGGGATATCCCTCATTACTACTCCAGCTCAAAGGAGAAATCCTCTTGGGTCCTAAATGGGAGAGGCCAAGGCCTTCGGGCTCCATGATTCTCAGGCTCCAGGCAGCGTTCCCAGGCCCCATTGCCCAGGGGGATCAAGTCAGGGTGCAGATGCCTCAGTGTCCACGACTCCAAGTGGACAAGGGCAGAGCCAGACCGCCCTTCTAGAAGTCCCCTCCAGGGCTGGTGTAGGGAGGGATGTTGGGGCCTGGGAAACTGGTGAGGAAGAGGGAGTGGGGAGGCCTGGAACAGGCTAGCAGCAGTGGGCGGAGGAGGGAGAAGATGGGCGATATTTAGGGTGCAGGGTGGACAGGGTACGGTGACTGCAAGGGTGTGAGGTTGAGTGAGGCATGTCAGGGTCCCCTCACCTCCCCTTCCACGTGTCGGGCCTGAGTGAGAGGAGACAAGGGCCACCTCAGAGGAGAAACAGCCGTGGCAGCTTGCTGGCGGCCGGTTTGTGCCTGGGGTCTGTGTGGTGGCTCAGCCACCCTGGGCGAGGACCGTGATATGGAGGCAGGAGGAGAGAGTGAATCTGGGGACACGGTTAGTGAGAAGTGCCGGGACTGCGGGGCTGTAGGAGCAGCTTTGAAGAACAGGCTAAATTCTTCATGGTGGCTTTACCTCAAACCAGGGCCCTTTTGTTTGTTTGGTTTGGATTTTAATTGCTGAATCCGAGTCTGAATTGGTCACGGAAGTCACTGAACTCTAAGACCCAGTTTGCACTCAGCCTGTGGGCAGCACAGGATGCCAAGGGAGGCTCGCATCTTAGAAGCTCAGGTTGTCGACGCCCCAGGCGTCGGCCAGGCAGTGTCCGGGCCACCCCCAAGTTGTATGTTTGGGGAAACCAAGGCCTGGGGGTGGAGGAGGCACCTCCCTGGGCCTCCCCAACCCCCTCAGCAGGGTGGGGCTGCACCGTCCACCCCAGGAGGTTACACCCCTCTGTTGGAGAGCCCCTCCTTGAGCCCACAGTCTCCTGAGGCAGCCGCCTCAGTAATTACAGGATTAGGAGGCAGCCTCTCCCCTTTGCCCCTCAAAGCCTCCGTGTGGAATGAGGATTTGGTGGCGCGGGGCCGGTTTCCAGGTGTGTCTGAGGAAACCTGGCATCCTCGGGCGGCTTGTTCAGCCTGAAAGGCTCCATTGTGGCTGCAGCCTCCCTGTGATCGGCTCTATTTTGGGGTCGGGATCCACCCTGCTCCAGATGGAGGAAGGAAAAGGTGTATTTCAGTATGTCCTGTGGGCGTGGGGGAACACGGAGAGACAAAGGGGAGGCTGCTTCTGCAGAAGGTGTGGAGGGAAGGAGGCAGCTGCAGACTGGAGGCATGGGCAGGGAGTGACCTGGCGGTCCAGGAGGAGGTGGACGTCCAGGGCGGGCGCGTGCGACCTTGCAAGCTGGCTGGAGGGACTTTCGTGTGGCCCTGGGAGCGGTGAGCAGACCCTGCCACTCTGGAATGCGGGTCTGTGGCCTGGCTGGGCCACGCCTGAAACCTGCCTGCCGGCAACATCCTAATTCCCACCACCCACCCGTGTGGTGCCTGGCCCTGGGCCTGCGCCCAGACGAAGACTTGCCCTACCCTTGACGGTTCCCGCATTTGGGTGAAAGAGCCAGGGCTGCTTAGTCTGAGGGAACACGCACATCTGCTCTCCTTCCTTGTCCGTTTAGACCTCTGTCTGTGTGTGTTTCTGCCCTGTCTAATGGCGGGCCCAGCCCAGCCCAGCCTCCTTGGTGTCTGTCTGGCAAGGCCCTGGGCTTTCTCTGCCCATCCTTCAAGACTCTGGTCAGTGCCTGTACTCCATGGCCCTTTCTAGCTGGGACATTTTTCTTATTTGAGCCTTACTCACCACTGTAGACGTCTCTGGAAGCTGCCCCCTCGCCCCACAACCACCCCACAGACCTCCTGTCTCTCACTTTAAATAGCACCTGCTCCAGGGGTGAGGGACTCCAGAGAGTGTCTTGAGTTAAGGCTGCGGGTCTGAGCGTCCTCGCCTGTGAACTAAGGGCAGCAACGTCCGCCTTCTGAGGAGGCCAAGAAGTTAGGTGGGTGACAAGACCTCATGCATCTGGCCCACAGTAGGTGTTCAGACAGTGCTGCCTGGGTGCTCACAGAGCCTGGGCTGCCCTGGGCACAGCCCCGCGACTCCAGGAATGACTAATTCCATTCCAGTGGTAAGCTCCTAGAAGCTCTGAGAAATGAGACTTCTTTCCTCCTGGTTGCTTCATTAAACTCTTCTTGAGTGAGTGGAATGAGGATTGTCTTAATCCTTTGGCACGGGACAGGGGGTTCGGGAAGCTGGGAGAGCCGCTTGCAGTGGTCCTCAGTCACCAGCAGACATCATGGGCAGGGCAGGAGTGGCTGTGTGAGGTGCACCAGTCCCAGGGTGCCCGGGTAGGGAGTGGACACTGCACGGGGGCAGAACCTTGTGTTCCAGGCTGACTTTGCCAGGACTCACCTGTACGCTCAAGTGAGCCCTGGCCCTGACCTAGCACTGGTTCAGTGTCTCACCTTGCTGAGCTCTCTGAGCTGCTTGGGACGGGGATGACCTGGCCGAAGCTGGGCCTGGTGGGTGGACCAGCTCACAGCACCTTATCTGTGCACGCAGGCCTCAGGGGAGCTCACATAAGGCCCTGAGCATCCCCTGGCTTTCTCCACTGACCTCTGTTTCTCCACCTTTCAGAGTGGTCCAGGCACTGGTTGCCTCCTGTTGGGGAACCCAGGGCCTCTCCACTGAGGAGAATGCTGTTCTAGACCAGGGATCGGCCTGCTCTCTGCATGTGGCTGTTAGCCTGCCCAGATGGAGGTGGGGGGTCTACCTGCCCCGTTAAAAAAAAGTTCCAGACCTCCCTCCCGGTCAGGCTTGGTGCCTGCCTTGGTCTTCCTCTCCATGGGAGAGAGGCGCCAGTGCAGGAAGGAGTTGGTGACTGGGGTCCAGGAGTCTCACACCCCCCCAACTTTTCCACAGGTGTTCCTGGCCCTTGGGGAGCTGCTTCTGTCCTGCAACTGGGCAGTGGTTACTGACATCCTGCTGGTAGGTCCGGGTGCTGGAGAGGGGCTGATCCTGAGGCCTCCTGGACCTAAGGGAGGCTGGGGAGGCTGCTGCTGTTGAGAGGGGTTGGGAGGGGCTTTAGAGACCAAGGGAAGGAGACTAAAGTCACTGGGCAGGGGCCTTGGGCTAGGGTCTCCCGGACACTCTCAGATAAATCTGATTTTTTTTTTAGAAATTTATTTAATGTATGCAAGAACTGGGGTATAGGCCAGAGGTAGGGAGGGTGAGAGGATTCCCCAGAGACAGTGTGAGGAGCAGAAAAGGCAGATGTACTGCTGAGGGGAGCAGTGGGAGAGACAGGAGAGGTCTGCTGCGCCATACAGGTCAGCTCCCTGGCCGGGATGGAACTTGTGCTGCAGTGCTGGCTGATAGCTTCATAGTGCTGCGCTTTAACCCGTTGCACCACCAGGGAGGGCCCAATCTTCTGATCTTTACTCCCATTTTGCAGATGAGCAAATGAAGGCTCAAAAAAGGGAGGGGCCTGGACCCAGGTCACACTGTGTGCAAAGACACTGAGCCGGACTGCGGCCAGGGCCTTTTGACTCCAGGGCACCCTCCTTGCATCTTGACCATACTCTTCAGCAAGTAGGCTCTTTGCCGGTACTCTACGAATGCAGCCGGGAATGCCAGACTCTGGGACTCTTGCCTCTGAGCCTAGGTGGGCCCACGCCACCCTAGCTCTTGTGTTTCTGGTTACAAACTGGCAAGGGTTCAGCTTCCCAGGAGGCTTGGTGCTGACCAGGGCACGTGATGCTGCTTGGCTCCTGAGTCTCTGCTCAGCCTCTCTGTCTTCTCCTGGGAGACATTCAGGGAAGGACTTTGAACACTGCTGGGCTGTGCCCTTCTGATTGACACAGGGTCGCAAACCGAGGTGCACCCTAGGGAGCCCTGCTTCTGCTGCCTAGCAGCTGGACAGGGGACTGAGAGCCCTCTGGGGGGTGAGGGGCATGAACTGGACTGGGAAACACACCTGAGTTCATTTCAGACCTGCTTCTGCTACTGTCTAACTGTGTATGACCCAGGCAAGTCCCTTTGTGTTCCCCAATCTCAGTTTCCCTAGGAAGAAAGTGGTGATGAAAATGCCCCATGGATTATTATGAGGGTAAAATGAGATTATCTGTGAGCAGCTTTTACTGAATGCCTGGCAGAGAATGCTGGTGGGGATTCTGAGAGCCATTCAGATGCTTCCAGCTCTCTCATCTCTCATCTCCTAAAGAAATCCTGGCATCTCCCAAATATGACTTTGCAAGGTTGTGGGGAAGTATAGTCGTTTATTTAGCCCATGGGGCTTGCTTGAACACGGCTGTGGATGGGATGCTCACTCCTTACCTCCTCATTGGAGCAGGGCTTTGCTGCTCTTCCCTCCAGACAGGGTCTTGGGCTCCAGCCTGGACTCAGCCACAGACCTGCTGAGCCTTGAGCCTCAGTTTCTTTGTCTATAGAAAGGGTGGCAGGACAGCCTGCAGGAGAGCCCGCAGGAAGGGATCGTTTTGCTGAATGTTTTTGTTAGTGGGCTTGCGCACTCTTAGGCTCAGGGAGCTCTGCCCCTGCCCCCTAAATAGCTTGCTCTCTCTCAGGCGGTTCAGATGGAGCTGAAACCTGCCCCCTGCAGCTTTCTCACCTGCCCCCCACTGCGAGGCTCCCTGTTCCACATGACAGCCCCACAGATATGTGAAGACCGTGTCTGTCCCCCAGTGTCTGTGTTTATAAGAATGATTAACCTGGCCCCTGCCCTGCAGAGCCTTGCTCTTTGTAAGCTGTGTGTGTGCTGGGGGCAGGGGCAGCTGACAGGGTTGGTCAGACATAGTTCCACCCTTCTGGCTCTACTGGGGAGCTGGGGGCAGGGCGGACTGGAAGTGATTTGGCCTACCTGGTGCTCCCTCTGGTCTACCCTGGGCTTTGAGTCTGCAGCCCTCTAAGCTCACAGATGCCCCTTTACCCCGGCCTTCCCATCTTCCTGAAGCCCTGAAGTCAGTGGTGTGGCTGGCTCGGTCCTGGCAGCCCCCATGATGCTTTATCCTGGCATTCAAAGGGGGATGGTTCAAGAAGGGAGCTGTCTTGAGCCAAATTCAGGTGAGAGGCCAGTTACCGGGCACCCAGTCTGTGGAGTGGAGGGGTGGAGGCCAACTTGGATCAGGGTGTGGAAGGAGTGTGAAGCAAAGGAGACCCCAAGTGTAGACAACTCTCAAGAAGCTGCATGGAGGAGCGAGGAGACAGGACCGTAGCAGGGGTGGGCAGATGACCAGACTGGCTTTGTGTTTCAAGAGGTGAGGTGGGAGCAGCTTCCTAAGGGCTGCAGGGGGGAAGGGTGGAGAGAGGGCTGCAGGGTGGATGGGGCTGGGGAGGAAGTGGGGCAGGGAAGGGGAGGAAGTGTGTGGGGATGGGCGTGGCAGGAAAGGCCTGGAGGTCACATCTGTGTCCTGCTCTTGCTCCTGAGGCAGTAGAGCCCAGGGGTGAGGAATCTGGGGCAGTCCACCTGTTTCCACCTCCAGCCCTGCTCTGAGGGACTGTAGTACCTGCCCCTAAGGCCCTGGCTGTGAGGAGCAGGTGAGCTGGTCCCTGTGCATATTCCACCCTGGGCTGGCCACCAAGTCCATTCTGCCTCAGGGCCCTGTTCTCTCTGATCAGTTTAGCCACTAGGAGAAGAAGCCAGATTCTCTCTGGGGAGGACTTAGACCTTTCTGGCCCACTGGGTTTTGAACCTCGTTGAGCTTAAGATTCAGGTTTAGAGGACTTCTGTACAAATTCAGCTTCCAAGTCCCCTGTCCTCAGAGTCTGATTCAGTGGGTCTTTGTTGGGGTTCAGGAATCCCATTTCTAATCAACTTCCCAAGTCATCCTGACCACACTACAGAACGCTAATCTAATCCAGGGCAGCCAGCTCCCTAGGCTCTGAATCCTCTGCAATATTCTGACTGGCACAGGCAGTCCCCCTTCCCAGCACCCTCTGATGATGCACTCCCAACTCACTCCCTGCAGCCTGGGAAGCCCCTTCTGCATGGCCATGCTGCTGGCTAAAAAGATTCGGCTTTGGTTCCACCTAAGACCTACCTTAGCCCCACCTCAAGCAATGTCCTCCAAGCCTGGCTGGGCCGAGGAGGGTCCCGCTCTTTGGAGAGCTGAGATTGTGTCTCCTGAGCCAGAAAGCATCTTGGCAGGCTAAACTGCCTCCTGGCCTACCTTCTTGTGTGTGGGGGCCTCGCTCTAGGTGTCCCAGCCAGCCTATCCAGCCCCAGCAGTGGGGAACTCCTCTTTCCCAGGTCTGTCCTTGGGTTCTGGAATCCAGCCACCAGCCTCGCTCCCACCTGCTCCACATGCAGCTTTCCCCAGCCCCTGGAGGGGGATCACCCTCCTGTCTTCTCTCTGCTCGGGTCTCAATGCCTCTCCACCCACCCCCCAGGTAGCCGGCTGCTGCTTGTCTGTCTCGCCTGGCCTGCCCGAGGTGTCTGGGTGTGAGGGCTGAGTGGGGAGCGCAGGAGGCTGGCTGCCAGGGAGTCTGCACCTGGTGGTTGCCACCCTGACTTTCTGCTGGATCTTGGTTGGTGCTGGTTATGCCTTGGGCTATAAAGGGAACAGCTTTTCTAAGAAAAGAAGAGTTAGAAACAGAGGTGTTTTTGTCTCAGAATAGAGTAAGGTTGGGTTTTTGGAAACCCAGAAGCCTCTCACCTCTAAAATTACCCACTGGACTCTCCAACCCCTTAGAGACAATGGGGACCCAGTACAGTCTGGGGGAACCTACCTCTGCTAATCGTGGCAGCCAGGCTGGTCTGTGCCCAACAGGCGAGGGCCCCCGGGAGGGGAGGAAGGGCCACCTGCCTGGAATTTACTGAATCCAATTAGCCCAGGCCCCTGCATGGATTCTTTTGGACATCGAGGGCCCATCTTCTGGGAGGCCCTGCCCTTCTCCCCAGAACCACCAGTGAGTAATCACATAATTATGGGGTGAGCAGGAAGCACTTGAGGAAGGTGCAGCTCTGTGGTCAGTTCCTCAGTACTGTTGGCAGGTTCTGGTGATGGGTGGAGCCCAGCTCCTTGCCAGCTGGGCAGAGTGGCTCAGTGCCAGTGACCCCAAGACCAGACAGTTACCTGCGGGAGTGACTCCTGCAGCCCAGCCTTGGCCCCCCACAAGCCCCCTCTCACCCATCCCATGCCTCCCAGTCCTGGGGCTCCAGCCTCCACACATTTTTTTTTTGCTCACACTGTCCCCTGCCCAGAAAGCCCTGCCCCATTCTCTCTGCCAGTGACCAGTTACTTCCCTACCCATATGCCAGGCTAGGGATGAGCCTGTCTTCTTTATCCTTCTCTCTCCGCTTTCCAAATGTTCTATCACCAGCATATAAATATTGTTGGAAAGGCTCCTTCTTACTCATAACAGCAGCATGGTTAAAAGGCCAGGCGCTGGCGGGAGAAGGCCTGGAACCAAATCTCAGCCTTGTTATTTCCTGGCCGTGTGGCCATGAGCAAGTTGCTTCCCTCCGTGTAGAGGGTTTGCTATCTCATCTGTCAAATGTGGATAATAACAGTCTCTCCCTCGTGGGCTGTTTGCGTGGATATGTGCAATGTACATGTGTGTACATATGAGATACGTAAAATGCATACAGGGAGCTTTTAATACACATTAGTAATGCTTATTATTATCATTGTTATTACTCTCTGATGAGCTCAGATATTATGGACTCATCTAGGTCTTGGGGAGAAGGCTTTGGGGGGCAAAGCTCCCCCGTGGTTGCTCTTTCAAGACGGTGACCCCGTGACCGTGTGACTTCTGCTTGAACCCTTTCTCTCCCTCCCCGCTCTCCCCTGCTGCAGCCCTGGGGTTCTGGCAGGGTTGCTCCTGAGACCAGACTCCCAGATGGTTCTACCTGACTTATTTAGTTGGCAAACCTTCAGCTAGTCCCCTCTGTGCCTGATGCCTTGCTCTAGCCTGGGTGTGCTGGAGAAAACAGATAGGCGGTTTGCTGCCCAGACAATGTAGGATGTGGGAGCGGGGGAGGAAGAAGCCCCCCCGCCCGCAGTTCTGGGTGATGCGTGTTCAGTCAGGGGTGCACATAGGGCTGGGGAGCGTAGGGTAGGCCCCTGAACCCTGGAGGAGGTTCACCCCAGAGATCAGTGCTGAAGGACAAGCACCATGCTCCAGTCAGACCGGAGCAGCAGCTGCAGCGTTCAGATGCCCAGAAGCTTCCTGCCTCCATGCGTCCCAGGGTGGTATTTCGGTCTGATGTCCATGTGAAGTCAGTGGGTGCCAGGCAGAGCGCTGTAATGAACAGAACCCTCCATGTAGGTAGTATTTGTTCTCTCCCTCGCTTGGGAGAGAGGAGACCAAGGAAGGCGAGGTGCAGCAGCTTGCCCGGAGTCCTGCAGCCAGTGAGCAGAGGTGGGGTGAGAATTCACATTCTTACCCGCCCCACCCTCTTCCTTGGAGTCATGGGGGTCTGCCCAGCAAAGTTTCTGCCTGGTGGCCCTTGACCTTCCTGAGAGAGGGGTGGAGCTCCGCACCATGCTGACACCAGGCGCCTACACATGCAGACACCTAGCTGTGGGCCCACTCTGCACCCCATCAGCCTGCACTGCTGCCTCCTAGGCTCTTGAGTTGGGGTCTCAGCCCCAGCACTGTTGTTACAGTCACACCTGGCCCAGAGACACCTCCTCTAGAGAGGCGATCCTCCTTAAGGACCTTGGGACCCCCATCTTGGGGGCCTGGGTCGCCCTCGTGAGCCTTGATGGGCTTGATGTTCTCTTGGTGGGGCCCCAACCATTGGGGCTGCTGGCTCCCTTCCATGTCATCCCCCAGGCAGGTCCTTGGTGGGGAGCAGGAGGCGGTGTGGGGGCCCCTTCTCTGCCTGCCCTCACCCGGGGATGCCGCCCTGATGCTCCTGTGTTTTGCAGTCCGTGGTTGTGCCCAGGTGCCGGGGAACAGCAGGGGCACTCCAGCTCACGGTGCTCCACATCCTGGGAGACGCAGCCAGCCCCTCTCTCATCGGATATGTAAGGCGCCGCGTGGGCAGGCTCAGGCGTGCCTGGGTGCGTTTGGGGCAGGGAAGGCCTGAGACGGGCCTGCTCTGCTCAAGCTGGCCTGCGCCGGGGCCTGGCACACCCACCTTCCCTCCGTGCAGATGTCCAGTGTCCTGCGGGCCAGGCGCCCCGACTCCTACCTGCAGCGCTTCCTCAGCCTTCAGCAGAGCTTTCTGTGCTGCGCCTTTGTCATCGCCCTGGGTGGCGGCTGTTTCCTGATCACTGCGCTGCATCTGGAGAGAGACCAGGCTCAAGCCCAGGCGCCTGGCACAGGTACCCACCCTCACACCCATGCCATGCTCAGAGTTGAACCCCTGGGGCAAGGAGCCTCAGTCCCCACCCCATCCCCTCACCACTTTATTCATTTATTCAAAAATAGCGATTATACCCCTGCTTTGTGGCAGG